TATTTTACATAGAGCAAGGTAGGAAAGGGCATGCCACTCCCAAATCTCCACTTCTTCATCAACCTGGAAACTCTTCAAACCTTCAACCTTTGGAATTTTATGGCAGCTCCAGTACATAGCCATGATTGATTAAATCACTGGTCATTGGTGATTCAGCCTCTGGCCTCTGGGTGTTGGACTGACAGTTGCTTCTTCTGGCAACCAGATCCTATCCTTAAGTACATTCCTATTAATGTAACAAACGACACCTTTGTGTCTCTCTCCTTAAGAAATTCCAAGGGTTTTAGGAGCTCTGAGCCAGGACCTGGTATGAACACCGAATATGTTTCTTATTATAAGTTACAGTATATTTAGGATTATTACATGTTCTTAACAAATTGACTTTTAACGTTATGAAATAGCTCTCTTTATTCCTGATACTATTCCCGTTCTGAACTCCACAGTATCTAGTGTTACTAGCCACTATCTTTCTTTTGATTAGTATTTGTATGGTGTATCTTTTTCTGTTCTATTTTTTTAAAGATTTAATTATTTATGCATACAAGAGCTGGGGTGTAGACCAGAGATGAGGAAGGGTGAGAGGATTCACCAGAGACCGAGTGGGGAGCAGAACAGGCAGATTGACTAAAATACACTGCTGAGAGGAGCAGCGGGTGAGTCAGGAGTGGTCTGCCGTGCCATGTGGATAGCTCCCTGGCTGGGGATTGAACTTGTGCTGCAGTGGCTGCGGATACCTTCATAGGTTGCATCTTAACCCCTTGTGCCACCAGGGAGGCCCTGTTTTATTTTTTTAAGATTAAACCTATTTAAAGTAGGCCTGTTGTAGATAGTAATACGTAGTTGTATCTTCCTAGAGTTTTTAGATTATTTACACTTAACATGATTCTCAAAATGTTAAAGTTACCATCTTGCTATATTAGTTATTCTATATACTTTTCTCATTTGGTTTTTGTTCCTTTTTTCCTATTTATATACCTTCTTTTGGCTGAATATTCTCTATGATATAGTTCATTTTTTATTGGAAATTGGTTTTTCTAGGGTTTAGTGTGCATCTTTAACAGCATGCTCTACTTTTTTTAACTTAATTTTTTTAAAGATTTATTTATACAAGAACTGGAGTACAGTCAGAGGCGCAGACGGGTGAAAGAATTCACCAGAGACAGAGCAGGGAGCAGAACAGGCAGACAGACTGAAGACGCTGCTGAGGGGAGCAGCAGGCAAGACAGGAGAGGTCTGCCGCACCATGTGGGTTGCTCCGTGGCTGGCCAGAAGTCGAACCCACGCTGCAGAGACTGTGGATAGCTTCACAGCACAGTGCTCAACCCGCTGCGCCACCACCAGGGAGGCGTGCATGCTCTAATTTAAATAATGTGTTATTTTTCTGATAGTGTAAGATTTTGACAATATGCGTACATTTTTCTTGCTCATCTTTTGTGATGCTGTTGTATTACATTTTACTTCCGCACATTAAATATCCCACATACATTATTAATGTGTTTGTGTTAAAATAGTCAAGTGTAGACATGTTTACTTACACGTTAACTATTTCTTATAATCTTTATTATACAACTAGATCCAGATTTCCATCTAGCATAATTTTTCTGGCTGGAGAATTTTCTTTTGATGTTTCTTATACTTGTGTGTTTGGAGCCAAGTTCATTTATTTTTTGGTTATTTGGAAAAAGCATTTGCCTTTATATTTCAATGATATTTTTGTTGGGTATAAAATAACATAGGTTGGAATAGCCTTTTGGATATGTGGAGTCTAAGTTTAGAAGTGATCTGAGACATTCTGTGTGGTGGAAAAGACCTAGGTAGGCTGATCGTTGGATCTTATGGTGCTGGCTAGCAGGGAGTGATATAGGAGGAGGATGGAAGTAATCATTTATGAAGAATTGGTAACTTTGAAAAGGTCAATGGACTGGAGAAACAAGAACCTGGTGTCAAAGTCCTTCCAAAACCTACCACATATCCCTTAGCTCTTGCTTTTAAAATAGTTCCAGCATTAATCATAAAAAATGACAATCCAGGGGCCTCCCCTGGTGGCGCAGCGGTTGGACGCTGGGCTGCAAAGCTGCCCGCAGTCTCTGCAGCTCCGGTTCAATCCTGACCGCCAGGCGAGAGTCCTACATGGCACAACAGACCTCTCCTGCAGCGCTCGCTGCTCCCCTCAGCAGTGTATTTCATCAGTCTGCCTGTTCTGTTCCTCGCTCTGGCTCTGGTGAGTTCTCTCACCCTCCTGCACTTCTGACTGTACCCAGTGCTTGTATAAATAAATAAATAAAACTTAAAAAAATAAGTGACAATCCAAAGTATCATTATATTCTTTTGAAAGCATTGTAAGAAACACTTACTTTAAAGTAGAGTGGAATAAGTTGAAGGAATATATGAGGCAGTAAAAAGATAGGAATCATGGTAAAATTCTTAAGATCATCTCTGCTCATTAACTTGACATTAGCTTTATTAATATTTCCTATTTCTTCTGCCCTAACCTTAATATATATTTGATATTTAAAGTGACCTAAAATTTAACTAGTTCTAGAAAATTAACTGCTATAATTTGTAAGGAAAGGACTAATTATTGGGACTATGACAAGAATATATTTACCGATAAAGTTTGCATAGAATAAGGGATACTTTTAGGAGTTTAAAAGCCAGCTAGGCCGACTAAAATAGTTTTTTAGGCTGTGTTCAGAAGTTTGTAGAACAGATATATTCAAATATTCAAGTGTTATATCCTTTTGTGCATTTATTGTTAGACATTATTATTAGGTGAAAGGGGACAGAGATGCTTGGTCAACTCAAATTTATCACTGATTTTAAAAACTTAATTTACATTACTTTGAATTATGTGGCTTGTTTTTAAAGATATTTATGATTTTTACCTCTTATAAGTCTGTTGTATTTGGATTCTTTACTGTTTCACATTTAGAACTATTCCTGGTTCTATTATTAATTGAATGGTATGGACTTCCAACCTGGTATTTAACAAGAGTACAGGATTTGGCCAGTTCTGTAGTTTTCCTGGAGTACTTATTTCCCTTAAATTTCACATGGAATCCTGGTGCAGAGGACAGATAGTTGATTTTTTAGAAAGATAGACATTTAAATTATACCAGAACCTACCTGTGAAGTAAGATGTCCATGAAAAGAAAAATCTTGAGTTTAAGCTGTTGGCTGTCTTACATTAACTCACCTTCCTGTTAATGTTTTTATTTCAGTTGCACAGCATATAGGAAATTCTGTTTCAATGCAGGTATAAATGGTAACAGATTTTTTCCCCCTTTATAACAGCTTTGTAATGTCAGAAAACTCTTCAGTTAAATAGGCAGACTGGCAGAACAAGCTTGATTCTGAACTCTATCCCAAAATGAGTTCACCTAGCAAGACAAGTCATAGCATTGACTGTTTCCATTGTGTTAAAATTGATTATATAACATCTGTAGGGTATTAAAATATTTAAAATAAATTTTAATTAAATGTTTTCATAAGCCTTAAATGGCAGCCACCATTCAGACCTGTTTGATTCCAGATGTCTGTCGTATGGTATACTTTTTTCTTACAAAGAGATGTAACTTACATCTATAAACTGCTAAGGGATTGATCACAAAGATCTACAAAGAGGGCCTCCCCGGTGGCACAGCGGTTGAGCGCTGGGTTGCGAAGCTGCCTGCAGCCTCTGCGGCGCCGGTTCGATCCCGGCTGCTCCCCGGCCACCGGAGGAGGGTCCCATATGGCGCGCAGACCTCTCCTGCCGCCCGCTGCTCCCCTCAGCAGTGTACTTAAGTCCTTCTGTCTGCTCTGCTCCCTGCTCTGGCTCTGGTGAATTCTCTCACCCTCCCGCGCCTCTGACTGTACCCAGTGCATGTATAAATAAACAAACAAACAAATAAATAAAATAAATAAAACATGCCTCTATAAAAAAAAAAAAAAAAAAAAAGATCTACAAAGAGCTCACATGACTCAACGAAACCAAAGTGAACTATCCAGTCAAAAAAAAAAGGGCAGAAGAGCTAAAAAGACTCTTCTCCAGAGAGGAAAGGAAAATGACCAACAGGTATATGAAAAAATGTTCAGCATCACTTATAATCAGGGAAATGCAAATCAAAACCACATTGAGATATCACCTTACACCACTGAGAATGGCACACATTAAAAAAGCAGACAGCAACAAATGTTGGCGAGGATGTGGAGAAAAAGGAACTCTCTTACACTGCTGGTGGTAATGCAAACTGGTCCAAATACTATGGAAAGCTCTGTGGAGGTTTTTCACACTACTAAAAATGGAGCCACCATATGACCCAGCAATTCTACTCCTAGGATTCTACCAGGGAACACAAAAACATTAATTCAAAAGGGTACCTGCACCCCTATGTTTATTGCAGCACTATTTACTATAGGTAAGATATGGAAACAGTCCAAATGCCCAAAAATAGATGAATTGGATCAAGAAGATGTGGTCTGTGTACACAATGGAATACTATTCAGCAATCAGAAGAGATACTCATGCCATTTGCAGCAACTTGGATGTAGCTGGAAGGGATTATGCTCAGTGAAATAAGCCAGAAGGAAAAAGAAAAATATTGGATGGTTTCACTTATAGGAAGACTATAGGGGAACCAATGAGGCATCAGGGAAAAAAAAAATCAAAACCCAAAATTAACAGGCAACTAAAAATCAGAGACATTCTGTGGGGAAGGGGAAGGGAGTGGAATCACAGCAGGGGAGGGAAGAGCACAAGTGACTAGTGATGGTGCACTAGTGACCTGGTGGTGGAAATTTATGGGGGACTACACCTGAGAGGAAAAAATAAACATTGTGCAAAAATGAACAATGATATAAAATATATATGAATAAATAAAAAGGAAAGATATAACTTACAGATCTAGACACATTAGTTTATGACTTAATTCCCTATATTTTATGATTTAATATTTAAGTTTGATCTTTCAAAGAAATCTGTGCCAACTTTGTGACTTTTTTTTTTTCCCCCCCTCCAGGGAAATGAGGCAAGTTATCCTTTGGAAATGTGCTCACACTGTAAGTCAAATATTCTTATCAAAAATTTCTTTTATTTATACATCTCTGTGTATGAACATGTGTCTTATACCCCTGTGTATCTGTATGTCAAAGTTAGCTCTAAACTATTTAAAATGGGTAGTGAATTTGTTATAGTCTTTCGAGTTGTCAGAATAGGGAAATATTTCTTAATAGGTCTCTTTATTAGTAGTCTCTGTACTATGCTGTCATTACAAATAAATCTCCAAATCTCGATGATTTCACCCAGTAGCAGTTTTGCAGGTTCACAGTGTTTTCAGTAACTTATTTATCTTCATAAACCAAAGTGCCTACTGAAGGCAGAATCCTGGTAGACCAAGCAGCTATTACAAAAGGTCCACAGAAAATGAGTAGTGTAAGACATTGGTGGGCTGGTTATTTCTGACTGTACTGGGGTATGTAAAGAAAGAAAATGACTAGCTTAGAATTCTTGATTCAAGATAGGTCAGAGGACATGGGCAGTTATAAAGATCATAAGGCCTCTTGTGTGGAAGAATGAGATCCTAGAACTCCCAAATCATTCAGAATCTTCCTTGCCTGTTCATTCCTGTTCTATGACGCTGATCCTCCCTTGTTTGGAATGTCTTTACCTGGCAATTCGGTGTCACTTCCTTTTTGTCTTATTAAAACCTCATCTCTGTTGATCATTATTTTTCATTTGTTTAATTTCTTTTCCCAAAACACCAGTTTCTTTTATTCTCACCAATACCTTTGCTTGCTTATGCATTCTGAGTAGACTGTTCTTCTGTCATCTCTTCACTGACAGCTACCATTCAACTGTCAGCATAAATGTCACTGCTTTAGAGATGTTTTCTGTCACTTCCTACTCTCCTCATATTATCCATGATTCTGTTATAAGCAGTACCCTGTTTGTTTGTTTTTTAATAGCAGTTAGCATAGACTGAAGTTACTTCTTTGTTAATCCATTTTATCTTCCATTTTGAACTTCTACAATTTCTTAAATATTTTAAAGGTAATACTCTGAACAGTTACCCGTAACTGTTCATCACCATCCCAGATATTCACATTTTATGTTAGTATTTCTGTTCAGGCTTTCCTTTGTGAATTTCTTACACAGTTACCATCACATGTAGTAGGTATCTATTTCTATTTTAAACTTTAAAAAAAAATGTTCCATCTAGCAAGTTGTTACAACCAAACCTAATTATGACCAGATTAGGGGTTAGTAAACCACTGCTTAACAGTGTTTTTGCTAATTATTTACTTATTGTCTATGGCCGTTTTCATGTTACAATGGCAGAGTTTAATAGTTGCAACAGAGACTGTAAGGTTGACAAAACCTGATTCTGAGAACTATCAATTCTGTCATTACCTAACAGTTTATGAATTATGGTTCAAGATAGAGTAGTTACAGAGTACTGCTCTGGGGTGTTATCTTGATCTGTGTTTATCTCCGTCAGTTTTATAGTATCTTTAAAATTGTAAGGGTTTCTCTCAAAATTGTGCCTTGTTATTCATTGTTCACTTTGTGAACATTTGCTGGTGGGCAAGAAAGGGGTGTAGAAGTCTGTAACTAGCTAGGCTTTGGTGCTGTGAATAGAATTGGGTTGGTTGTTGGTAGTACAACTCTGAGAGGAAATGAGGTATTAGGAAGTTAGTTTTTGTGTTTTGGGCCTCAGGGGGCAGTATATCCCAAGTTCTTTCTCTTTTGCTCTCTCTTTAAATCTAGGAATGAGGGTCATATATCTGGTTGCACAGAAAAATGCACCAAGGCAAAGTCAGAATAACCCTTCTGCACATCCAGAATGGCACAAACCAAGTTTTTAAAAAAGTGTGATAAGTATATAAAATAGATTTCTTATGCTGTTAAGGCTGTCCATTTCAATTTTATATTCAGAATTTTGTAAATCTTTCACACAATGTCATCTATGCTTTGAAGGCTCAATATGAGACTTGAACTTTGTCTTTAATAATCTGTACTTACCAATGGTGGTTCAACCAACTGTGAACTTATCAGAATGATCGTTTTCCAGTTCTAGTTTTTCCTATATTTCCTACTTGGTTCACTGGAATATAATGTACTTTATTGTATTTTACATATAATTTGAATGAATTTCCCCAAAGTGAACTTTTCTATATTTAAAATCACTTTTTCCCTATCCCACATTGTAGTAAACATTTTTGTCTTATTTATGAAACCACTTCTTACTGAAAGAGCTTAATGTTATCTGCTAATAAATAGTACAATATATTTAAGTATGTTAAAAACCAACCCTTGAAGCATTTCCCTCTTTATACTTCCCTATTCAGGTTAAATTCTATCCTGCCTTTTCATCCCTTCAAGACCCACCTCAATTCTCTGATCTCTGAGCTATTTCATAATTGGCCCCAGTCTGCAGTGGGTCCTCTCAACATTTCAAATAGTTACTGTTTTGTGCTTTTAGTTATTAAATTATGTCACTTTTAAAAGAGGAAATAAGATTCTAAATTATATGCTGTAACATACTCTCTTTGACCCTGTGACAAACAGATAAGCATTCACAAAATGCTTGAAGTCTGGCAGCTGGGAAAGAAGAAAAGTGCATAAATTATTACATTTATGTAATAAATGGAAGTAAACCATTTCTAGAAATAAAACAGGTTCTAAGGAGAAAAAAATCGTTGCTTAATAAGGACACTAAGAAATGTTTCATGGAATGGGTAACATTTGAAGTTGCTTTTGAAAGCTGTCTAAGATATGGGTGTTGATTAATTCGTTACCTATCTGATTGGTTGTCTCTTTTCAGTCTGCCCAAATTCCATCTAGATCTTCAACATGTCAGCAAATCCACCCCCACCCCCATAATCCTTTCCAAGTACCCTATTGCTTTTTGATCAGTGGTTGTGTTTCCTAGTCAGTTTATAAGAAAACAGAACATTTTAAGTGTTTGACTTCTTTCCCTCTACTTCCTTCCAATTTCCACACCTATCATACACACACAAGCTTTCCTAATGTCATACTCACCCACATAACCTCTTTCCTTTAGTGTGAATTTGGGTTATAACTCCTGTATTAAAGGTTAGCCATGTTCTGTCATGTCTAGCACCTTAATTTTCTCTCTCCCCCTCCCCCCTGCCCCTTTATCTTTCCTATGTCCTGTATAGCTTCTCTTCTCTTTTCATTTTATGGATATAGTCATCTCCTCTTTGATCCTGATCCTGCATGTAGCTCCTAGTTTTTGTCCATTTTCTTATGTTTGAGCATGTCCAAAGAAGAGCATATACATTTATCTCCATTTCCATAGTCCTGCTCATTTCCTGGCTTGCTGTAATCTGGTTTATATCATCTATTACCCTGTGACAATAATTGTTAGGTCACTTTCACTGATGTGTTGCCTAATTGCCAGATCTGATGGATTAAAAAAAACTGAAATTATTTGTTACTTGGGGAAGTTTGAACACTGATTACTTAATATAACGGAATGATTAATTATTAATAAATTAATTTTAGGTGCAGTATTACTGTGATGTTTTTAGAAAGATTATCTTTTTGAAATAAATAATAAATACTGAACAGTTTCAGAAATTAATATTTTTGGTATTTGTCCTAAAGTAATTGAAGTGGATGTAAAGATAAAATTAAATTTCTCATGTGTTAATGGTTAAAGCAGTATGATAGGCATATAGAACACGTTATACTGGTGTCTCAGTCATTGTATGTGCTTGAAATTTTCTTTTATAAAGCAGCTTTTTTAAATGAATCAGAAAAGGGTAGGTTGATAACTATTATCAAAAATAATTATACTAAGCATGACATACAGTACAGCGAGCTTTGATAATAAGGGATTGTTTAAGCTAATTTTCATAAATAAAAAAATTGAGACATTTATGGTTGAAGTATAAGTACAATGCCTGGAATAAACCTGATGCTGATTAAGTATATGTTGATTGAATAAGCTCAGAACTGGAGTGTGCAGACAACTAGTAGGATAATATCAAAGGCCGTATGTACCTTTAGGAAAACTCATTAGTTACCAGTCATCCCATTTGTTTTCATAAGGAATAACAATTATAGCATTTAACACATGCTAGGCACTATGCTAAGCATTTCTCATATAGCAACTTTTTTGATCCTCACAATATTATCTCATAAGAGATAATATTATCTTCTCTATTCTGTTACAAGAGAAAACAGATACAGTGAAATCCCGCTCCCCCCAATATGGCATAAGGTCATAGAGCCAGCAAGTAAGTAAAGCAACAAAGCAGTAATTTGACTACAGGCAAACATATTCACCGATTTGTTTAATCTCAAGTCATTGACCACTTTTTAATTTAATTTATGTGATTTTGTTTCTGTTGGCTCACTTGTCTCCACTAGGAAATGTATACTCTGTTGGTGTGGTTTGCTTAAAGATGAGACCTTAGTTGCAACTTGGCATGGTAACTTGGAAAAATGAGTGCAACATTGTACTTTAGATTGTTTAAGCATATAACTAGTTTGGGGTACAGTTGAAAGTATGAGTGGAAAATCAGATTCAACTGATTTTTACTATTGATAAAGACAGTATAATTCTGAATGGTTTTGTTAAAATTGTTAAATACAGGACCTGTTTTGTAGGCCGAATATAGAACAAAGACTTTTTTAATTGGAAAGATTTATCAAATTTCATTAGGTGACCTAAGAACAATTTTGCAGACTCTAAAGGAGTGTTTCTTCTCTGCATATTGAACTATGTGTAGAAACCTTGAAGACATCTCTAGTCATTAGCAGAGTGCTCTAATTTTGAGTAAACCTCGTATTCAAGCAGTTTTGTTGCTGGTTTGAATATTTATTGATTAAAGTGGAGAGATACTGATTACTTTCTGTGCTAATTTATACTCTCAGATTGTCTTGATAGTTCAGTGTTCATCTTCATTGCATTTTTTCTTTGTTTTGAAAACAAAACTTTTCAGAGAAGTTAATTTAAAATTAATTTGAATTTCCCTTTTCATTTGTGCTTCTTTTGTTTCCATTCTTATAGGGACTGGCTTAACTTCGT